ATCGACGGATCGAATTTTACCTGCTTTTGAGACGCATTCCGGTGCTTAGCAAAGATGTTTTGGTGATATGCCGACGGCATAACAAGGTATTTTCTATTGTATATATTTTCGACATTGCCGCCATTATTGCAAGCTCTTGGCATGTTATTATATGTATGGTGATGGTTTATCAAGGGTCGAAAAATAAGCCGCTTCAATTTTTAGTCGCCTAAAAGTAGTTTGTCGTTGTTCCGCTTTTCATAGAACAACAACACATGGTGAATGTGGTATTAGTTGAGATAACCTCGACCACATGAAATAGAGATAGACCATATCGATTTGTATTATACGTTGCAACAAGCAACCAAACTCTTCCTGTGTTATACTTGGCGCAAATACTGCGTGCTGTTGAAAAAATGAACAGTTGTGACAGTTGCATTCTCCCAGGTGTTTGCTGATAGTAAGAATTCAACATCTCTGCCTGTCTTTTGTCGAGTAGTGCTTAGATAGGTAAGGGTCCAGCCAGCATCAAAACTATATACAAGCGACGAAGTTCTAGATATCTTAGGCTATCGCATGCAGGTCGGTGTGGTGCTGTCCCAATGATGTGAGGATTCAACTCGGTTGAACGCCTGCTCGAAGTAAAGCTATAGCGCACCCAATATCTAATGGAGCTAGGTAACGACGTTTCGGGTGGACGAAGGGTGTTGAAAGCATCGTCGTTATGGCTTAAACAATCTAAACAACCTTCCAATGTGCTTCGTCTATTCGGGTTTTGCCTATGATAACGCGGAATGGAAACCCCGCTCTGCGGCTGGCGAAAAAGTCGCTCTCTACAAGCGTATAGGGAGCGACTTTTTCCTCTTATTGCAGCCCCGGCATGTAATCGTTCGAGATCTTTACCCTTCAAGTGTCCATTCTAACGGGGTGTCGACCTTGTGCGCACGCCGAACGAACTGCATAGCTTTGCTCGAGAAATGCGTATTCATTGCACCTTTGCCTTCTTAGGGTGTCATATGTATATTCTTGTGAGGGTGCGAGAGATCTCATTATCGTCTAGTTGCAGGTGAAGGTGTTTTTCAAATTTCAGAACAGGTTGTGATAAAAGATGCGATACAGGCAGCAAACGATATGACTCTTTTTCGCAGTCGCTTCGGGTATAAATCTTGATATCGAATTAGCCAGTCATGTTGTGTGATTTCAAGATGAATGAATTTATCGAGAAACGGAGCGGAAATAAACGGTCTCATTGATTGAGTATCTATAAGTGTTAAATCGACCATAAGACTAAGCCTTTCGTTAGCACAAATTTTGATACATCTTATATTTAATCAATAATCGCCTAAGAACTTTTCTTTAAAAATTCACCGTTGCATATTGGATGAAGATGTATTTATCATCATTTATCACGGGCTTAGTGCGACACTAAATGACTTACACGTGCATGTGAGAAGGGGTGTAGTAGGTCTGTGATATAAATTATAATGTAATCGGTATATATGTTATATCTTTCATCCTACGATCATATCGGCTTTGTGACCTCGTTGGTGCCAACTATCTACGTGTCGACATCCTAATGGCTATTTATGAGTCTAGCTCCCCAAATACAGCACTTTAGCATGCGACGTGCTACACCTGATACAAATGAATGTAGCACTCCTTCATAAGTAACATTTACACCTAAGTTAGTATTTATGTGACGGGGTGAGCTTGTTACAGTTGATGCAAAAAATTATACCTCTACTTGTCTTTTTACGAAGCAATTAGAGCAATTAATTTATAGAAACGTTGGTACTTGAGAAACAATATGTAAGTAAGCCCGGAAGAAAAAAGGAAGCCTTCTTTTACAATCCTCGACCAAGCTTAGTATATAAGAACCATTAACGACTTTGTGCCTAAAGCAAGACGTCTACTTCGTGTCTTTAGTATGTATTACCTCAGTGTCAACTAGCTGTAGAAATCAACTACTGAAGGGAACCATGCGACCGACTTACCAGTCGGTTTAAAGGTCCCTTGCTATTGTTTCGGGCAACCGGTTTCTCATGTCAAAATTCCTTTTATATAGAAGCACATTTTTCGTTTGACAAATTCAAAAAAGTTGACACTATCTCTTCCTGTGCATCTCAATAGACTTCAGCAGCCTTTTTGCAGTAGAATAATATCCACGTTGCATTTTCGTAAATTCATGCTAACGCTTTCCCCGTTCGTAGTAATAAAAATATATTGTTCTGATTACCTACTCGTAGTACATCGAAACACTTGCAGGCACAATAATCTGTCTATAAGGTGGTTATAATAAACTAAGGCATTATTAATCGCCATATGCTTCCATCTAACGCACGTATCGTATTTCCAGAAACACATTATTCCTAGAAATGTTCTTTACTAGTCATATAGTAACTTTGCGATGAATTGACCAGTACGTCGTTTGGTCTTTTGTTCAAACCCAGAACAATTTAGCGTACTTTTGTAGACGCGCCTATTGCAAGGCGCAGTACAACGTTTTTTTGGGGTCTTTGCGCTGAGCGAAAGTGAGACTACGATTTTATAGTTACAGTTTTAGACAAAGTTGTTTGATGCCCTAATAGGTTCAGATCAAGAGAAGACCAATACGTTATCACTTCGATCTTCATGGTGATGAGTGGTACCCCACTACTATGTATTTTTAAGCTATCTTCGTTGAGAAAGTTGCAAATATTTGGCGTTTGATAAATTAGTTGGTCGATCAACTTTTTTGGGCCGTCGACGAAGAGTTAAAGGTTCGTACGCTGCTGCGACTTTGCAGCATTAAGACCACGTATTAGATCGATGGGCTCCTCAAGACAAACTTTCGATCAATTAATTAGTATAAAGCAATACTTGGAATGGGGTGCAACTCAAGTAATAATAAGGCGTAATCTTCCGACAAAGCGTTTACACTTGCAATCTATTGTGACAATTAGAGCGGCATTTGCCGCGTTTGTCACAAAAGTTTTATGTGATTTAGAACTTGGCTGGTTTGTCATCTTGGCTCACAGTAGGCTACCGCGGTAATTTTGAAATTTCCCTTTTCAATTAAACTAGCCACAGTCTTGCATTGCCTGTCATTTTGCACATTTGATTTCGATATACCCCAAAAATGTCGAAAATACGAGCGCTTGTCAATATGGAGAAGAGCGTAAGGTGCAGGTGCCATCACACGCACACTATGTATCTGTTTGGATCCAACACACGACTGTATCAGAGACAAGATCGGCCGTTAAACCTCCACAACGGCGGCACACGGTCTTACCAGGCACTAGACATTGCGTTCCTTTCCACGCGCAGGAAGCGCAATCGAAAGGTGCGGTTTTCAATTTTTGAAGCTGCGTTACTCGCACACTATCGTCTCCATGAAGGCAAAGAATTTCGTACAAACGAGCTACTACTAGACGACGGTCGCTCAATTCGAGCAGCTCAAGGACTACGCGAGAACGACTTGCGGCTTTCGAATGGATGGCTGCACAAGGTAATACCCGATACGGCATCCAGCAGCATGTGCTTTACGATGAGGTAGACTCAGTAGATCGTGCTTAATTGGCGGTGAAGCGAAATGAGTTTATAGAGCTAATGGGACAATATTCACCACGGGATGTATTCTATTATGACATATCAGCTCTCTTCTATCTCCTATCTCCAAATCAGACACTGGCAGCGGTCAAGAGCAATAGAAAGGAGTCAGAGAAGGATCGTATCAAAGTCTCAATGTGCTGCAACATGACTGGGATTGAGAAGATTGATCTCGTTGTCATTGGCAAGTAGAAGCAGCCACGGGCATTTATCAAAGCCAGCATTAATCAAGTGAAATTTTTGTACTTCAACAACAAAACTGCGTGGCAAAATAGTTTAACGGTTGCTGAGTGGCTTAGGCATTTCGATACCAAGATGCACAGGAGACGAGTGCTCCTGCTGGACAACGCGTCGTGTCACTATGGCCCGCTAAATACTTCAATGTCAAGCTGGCATTCCTACCGACAAATATAATAGCCCACTTACAACCGCTCGACGCAGGTAAGTTTATATGGATGTTCTCTTGACCAGCAATTTCTCACGTGTTTTATTTCTAGTAGGAATTATGTAGAATCTCTTTTAATAAATCAACCTTTATGCGGGCATTTACGGCGCGGTATCGAAATTTTTTGCTCGATGGTTCCTTGCTGCAATCCACACCAGAATCGATCGAAAGTTGAATATCCTGGAGGCTGTTTGCTTTGCTATATCGAGCTGGGAGGAAGTAATCGAGCAAGTGGTTCGCAACTGCTAAAGCAAGTGTGCTATCGTGGGGCGGTAACGATGGCCGATCTCACCCAACTATGCGACTACAACAAACGTATCGATGGATCTGTTGAGGATGAGCTGACCAAGCTCATGGAAGGTTTGACTTGCGGCGTCAGTGTCGTCGTTTACATCGGTACGGATGACGACGATCCGATCGAGTGCGACTCAGACCTCATGGAGCATGAGTCGATTGAGAACGACAATGATGGTGACAGTGCCGATGATGTGACGATTGGGCCATCCGAGGCTCTAGGCTTTTTCTCCGTCTGTCATCATTTCTTTCGCTGCATCAATATAGGGACGAATTGACAAAGAATCTGGCAAGCATCACCGAGCACGTTATAAATGTGTGCTTAATGCGAAAGACTCAGTGTACCATGGGGGCTTTTTTAGAATGAATTCGAACAACCCTCCATATAAGAGCGTATATAATGAGGAACGAGGCAAAAACGGTACACATTTTGGTCCGCTATATGGAGGGACGACTGTATATATCTTTTGTAGGTTCGATGCAGTTCTATTTCTTCCTCATGAACTATGATGGCGCTCGAAATTAAGTTTAAGCCAAATTCGTATCAAATAATTTCGCACATAATATATCTTCGATTGATATCATACACTTAACCGTATGTGACGGCCTGTAACCCGTCACAGACGGTTCAAAGCCGGCTTCATGGTCAATGTATTTTGTCGGACGGTCTTACTGACCAAACAATCCCAAAGCAATGGCTGCCAACCAAGCGAAAGACCGCGGAAACCGCGCGTTCTCCGCCGGTCTGTACGCTGACGCCGTCGCTTCTTTCTCTGAGGCGCTCGCCGTCGACCCCAATTCGCCCAACGCTCATGTCTTCTACAGCAATCGCTCGGCCGCCCAGCTCAAGCTCCACAAGGCCGAGGACGCGCTGAAAGACGCGGACCAGTGCATCGCGCTCAAGCCCAGTTGGCCCAAGGGGTATTCTCGTCGCGGGTCCGCTTTGTATGCCTTAGGGCGCTACGCGGACGCTTTTCGAGCATACAAAGATGGTCTAAGTCACGAGGCGTCGAATGAGGGGCTCCTTGAAGGTCTACGGGCCGTAGAAGCCAAGTTATCGTCCGAGAAAGCCGGCTTGTCTAGCGGCTCGTCGTCTTCTTCTTCGCCCTTCGTGCCGTCCCCAGCCACCAGTCTGAAGAGCTTTCTGCTTGGCAGCAAAATCAACATGTTTCAGCTGTACCAGTTCGTGCTGCGCAGTCTGTTGCTGCTCTTCTTCGTCAACTTTTGGGCTCCGGTGCTTCTTTCGAGTTACGGGGCGTACGCCAACTTTTTCAAGGTGGCACTCGTAAACTACGCGAGCTACTTGGCGTTCATGCATGGAGTCCCCAGATGGAGCGCCACCTACGCCGAACGTCTTTTTCTGGACCCGGCAACACAAGCGTTCTTCTTTTGTCTCGTCTTCTGGCTGTCACCTCCGCACAGTCTGGCGATGGCGCCTGTCTTTTTGCAGGACATGGTGCACTATTTCACATACCTTCAATCGCTACTGCAGGTGATGGGATTGGCAGACGCGAAGGTGGTGACGCTCGTGACAAGCAAAGCGCTGGTGCCGCTCACTGCTTTGATTATCAGCGATTCAAGCTTTCCGGCGTTGTCGACTCGAGCAAAATGGGCCAAGCTGTACTCACGCATGCCTCAGGTGGCTGCGAACATTGACCTGGCAATTGGTTTCGCGATGATCGTGGAGCTGCTCCTGCCTTCACGAAACTTTTTGCTGCTTGTGCTGTACTGGCAGGTGATGCGTGTACGGTACATGATCTCGCCACCGCTGCAAGAAGCCTTTCGCTCGCTGCATGCCACGATTCTCTCAGTCGTCAATCACCCGCGCTGTCCTGCGGTGGTCCGGTCCGTTTACGAGAGGATCGGTGCATTCATTGTCAAAATGGGCGACGCGACTTCGCAGCAACAGCAAGGTGCCTCTGGTCTTGGAGGCTTGGCCTCGCGCTGCAACATTATGTAGACGAATAAGTCGCTGCGATGGCACAAGCCTGTTGAAAGGGGAGCTGAAAAGAAGACTTCACGCGAGGTCCATGTGCTCAGCGTGCCACGTTCCGCTCGTTTACTCTAGTGGTCGTAGGAGGTGCGCAGGCATTGGCGCGGCCATACGATAGCGTAATTCAATCCATGCAGCGAGTGCTTGCGATGTCATGTCGTGTCGTGTCTCCATCTACCGTTGTAGTAGTGTGACGGTGAGTGTGCGATCGAGGCGGTACATATCAGAGTCGTAGACACAGTGCACGTAAGCCATCTTGATCTCCACGTCGATATGGTTGGCGTTAGAGTGACTTGCAGTCGACTGACCAATGTCATTGTAATTGCTAGATATGCAGCTGTTCGCACGAAAACCTGCGCATCTGCTGTATAGCATGCTGGCAGATGTACCTCAGTTACGATGTGGGCAATCTGTTTCGTCTTGCAACTTATGCCGTTGGTCTGCAAGAAGTGCGATTCTGCTGTTCAGAATAACTGTCTGTTTGGGCTTTCCCCTCTTGTGCTACTACACGCGCAACGCGATACGTAGCGTCTAGATCACACATTCTATCATATTCAATGTGTAACGTACTGCTTGGCCCCGTCGTCTACAACTACCCTAACGTTGGCAGCAGCGCTACTCTACCAACAGCTCAAGCGGCGGTGACGGTAGAGAAGGATCCCACGCGAGAGCGCTTGGCCGCTGCGGTATCTGCGCAGCCACTGACAGAGAGTGCGCGCATACGTTTCGTCGGGGACTCGCTCAAGGCGTCGTTCTCGCTGTTTGTCACGGGTGGTGTAGTTGGCATCCTGATTCCAATAAGCACCTTCTTGATTTGCTCTTCTTCCTCTTCCATCATCTTTCTTTTGGTTTCCATGGTGATCGACTCATCTTCCTTTGTCAATGCCGCCTTCTTGCCGCCCTTCTTTTCCTTTCGATTAGCCTTGTAGAAAAAGTCAAGCAGCAAGCCTACAGCGTTTGCGTCGTCTTCATCTCCCACTCTATCACCGTCACCCGACTGGTACATCCTGGGCTTCAGCGGCACAGGTCTCGACCTCTGGCCTGCCGAAACCAGCCGCACGTCGAACTCATCCGTCGAAAGTGGTGGTTCCTCCCGGTTCTCTTTCAAGCGCTTTACAAACGCAGCCTCGAGTGCAACCAGCTCAAGATGTGCCTGCATGATCCTTACTTGAGACTCGGGCGTGGGGCAGCAAGGACGAAACACTTGCTTGCCGATGCACCCACCGCCAGTAAACTTCTTGGTGATGCGCATTGGCTCGCAGTTGAGCTTCTGCGAGAGGTAGAGACGCAGCATAGTCCCTCTCTCCAGCGGAAGTAGTCCCTCCTTGAAGTAATGCGTCAACTGGGAGGCGTAGCGACTCTCTTCCTCCGTCCACTTGCCCTTCCGAAGCCCTGGTCGAGCTTTGCTCTTCGTCGAGCGACTAGAGAGCTTCGGTGTGCGCACGCGTCTCGAGGTACTTTTCTTCAGCTGCTGCGGATCGTTCATGGGAGAAAACGGCTCGTCCTGTTGCTGCTCCTTCTTGATGGTGCAAACAGTAAGCGGGTACAGCATCGAGTGCGGCGGCTCGCGCTCTGGTTCGTGCATTCCCGACGTGGACGAGGGAGGCAATGGAACGGGCGCGAGTGACGGGCGCGAGTTGGGAATGATGAAGCGCAGCGGCACGAGAGTCGGCGCCTGTGCGATGGCGCCGGGCGCTGCCGAAGGGTGGAAGACGGTCGGCGGCGGCGGTTGCATCCTCGTGCCATGTGCTGCAGGCAGTACCGAGGAGACGACTGGTGCTGGGAAGCTGCTGGTGGCAGTGACGCTGGTGCGATCAGACGAGCAGCTGCTACTGCTGCGGGGGGACGATGCCTGGTGGATCAATGATCTCATGTCCATTGTGCACGTGAAAGCCGTCGACGGGGTCAGCCAATGCCAACCAACTTGGGTGGCTAAAGTGATCTGAATTGCGAAGTGTGGGCGGGTGAGTCGTCAGTGCCTCTCCACCTACCGCGCGTCCTACGTATTTCTTTTGGGCACTGCCCAATGATGTCAACAAGACGCTTTTCATCCAATCGTGGCAGGCCGTATCGTCAATTGAGGTATTGAAGTGGAGGATGGACGGCGGCGATTGGCCGAAGCGAGCCAGAAGAGGCGGTTCTGTCGCGAAGCAACTTCAAGGACAAGATAGCCGAATGAATGACTGTACTTACACGCATCGACACTGCGTAATTGCCGACACCACTTCCTTCGTAGTGCGAATCCCTCCGGCCTGCGCTGGCGTGGACAAAAAGCTCTTGCGCTGAATTTGTGGAGAACGGTGCTACAGGGAAATGGTTCGGCTAGTTTCTACGTGATATTGAAGCGGAGCCAGATCTTTTCGTGCATTTTAGCCAATGCCACGCAGCTTGAGGTGGTCTCCACCCATTCTATACGCGAAAAACTAGGCGCTGATTGTTGATTCAGGAAGGCGACGTGGCGGAACTAGTCTAGCATGTGGTGGATGATCCGGTTTAAGCAGACCGCCTCTTTCCGCACGTGCGAGGTCTCCGCAGTATAGACGCACTACAACCCAGTCACACTTAGCATCGTATGCCCAACACGGCAGAGAGCCCGACACCACCGAGTGAGCGACTTAAGTACCTACATCTCGTGCGCTGTCACTTTTTGCTCAACATAGCAGTCCAGCTTTGCAGCACTCTAACTTCACTTCTTGAGATCACGCAGCATTCTGTGTCTTGCCAAAGGGTCTTCTGCTGATTACGCGATCACATCGCTCAGCGCAATACAAAGTGCGAGCCCTGCACGACAGCTATTCGTCTCAGATCAACAGGCCTCTCTCGATCTGACTTGATCCTAAGGCCTTTCTTCATATGACTTGATCCCCTGACCAGCGCACGTCTCGCGTTGTCGGGTAGTGGATCATGTGATGGAGCGCACGAATTCGTCAGCTTCTAGAGATCGCTGTGTACAACTTTTTCATCATAGGTCTGCGCACTACAAAACATGGTGTGCGTCACTACAACCAAATCAGACGGCTTTGGTCGCACGCGTCTCCTTTTTTGCACCTTCGTTGCGCGGTGGGTCCCACCGGTACTTGTGACGAAATCCGCAACATGCCGCTGCTGTTGGTAGTAGTAGTTTTAAGCAGCGGAATGATGTTGCCGCCGCGACGAGTCGTCGATACGATTCTTCACGACCCTGCGACTACATTGTGCACATATGTACACCGCCTCGTCAGTCGACGCAATTCCGAGCCAGAACACCGAGTCAACCCACGGGATCACATCCGCGCACGTCTCAAGCGACACGACTCAAACGAAGACTCCATCTTGACCTGACAGTATACTGCGGCTATCGTTGGCATGCCGTCGAACGCAGAAAAGGTGTAGCTTCGTTTGGCTCTGACACTGTTGCTGTGAGGAATTACCTGCCTCGCGGTGTTCCTGTCCTAACGTTACGGGGCTCTGTGAGGTCTATAATTCCGTGCTGGAAGCAGAACCTTGCGACGTTCGTGCTGTCACTCGTCCATGATGAGACATCGCTTAAACGCGGTAGCTAAACGCTGGACCCGCGTTGGGTGCTGGTGCACAGATGTCGTCGTATGGTCTCTGGTTGTGCGCTGTGTAGACGTTCACGTCAGAATTGTGAGCAACGCCACCTGATCTCGATACTGATGATCGGGGGGAGATGGAAAGGCATAAGCGTCACGTACTACGACAATGGAAAGCCGTAGCTTTCCATGCCATGGTAGTTCCTTGTCCCTCAAAATTGTAAAGCTGGGTGATTCAGCGTCACACACCTAGCAACAGTAGCTGCTTGGCTGTCCTTGTCGAGCGACAGATCGTGTAGCTCGTTCGATATGTCGCTTACGGTTTGCTAGACGGGCAAGGTGGAGGTCAAGAAAACATGGAAGGAGCACTACAAGTAATTCAGCATGCGCTCTTCACAGCAAGAGCAACTCCTTAACTTAGACTACTTTTGACACTAACTACTGTGCGGCGTAGAGTTTCGTTGTCGGCCCCGCATCGTATCAAACATCGCTTGATGCATATCGTCATGGCCACCAACTGAGGTGACAAGCAGGCAGGTTGGGGCGCTGATATGATGTACTGTGCACCGTTGAGGATTGCCAAGCCTTGCATGATACCACTGCCCGTTTTTTGGTGGTAACACAAGAGCATGGGGGCCATTCGTATAGCGCCGCTTAATCATTTCTTACCGTGGCATGATTGTCGAAGCTGTAAACGAATTCGAACGAGACAACGTAAGAGTGACTTGCTTCGTCCAAGCATTTGTGACGTTTGCGCAGCTGTTATGAGACTGCGAACTTTGATCACGCTAAGCACATACAAGAACATATTCGTCCCTTCTATCTCATTGAAGTCTTGACGTTACCGATATTGTCTTGCTTTTTATTGATGCACCAGAAACCGATCACACGCGGCTCCAACGACAGCTTCCTCGAGTTCAGGCATCGATGTCTGTCAAGGAATGTGTGCTTGTACCGTACGCAAGACAATACAAGTTTGCTTTCCAATATTGATATTGATTCCCGTTGACTGTAGAACCCTTTTTAGAAGTGCAAATCGATGTCTTGCCCATAAAACTAAAATATTGTCGAAGTGCTTGCAGCGGAACACCTCGGAAACTTATTGGCGATCTGTCAACTTACCTTTATAATGTTCTTTCGGTCTATACACTCCACCCTAACGCTGATGACGAGTCGTATAACTACAGCACCATCGCCTGGTGCCATTTGTCAGGAACCGTTTGTCAAAACGTAGCTATCGAGAAGGCGCGGCTTACACCTGGCAGTAGTACCTGTTCATGATTAATGATACTCGAGTCACACAGGGGACTAATTTGTTGATGTATAATGTATTTTTGCATGATGAAGGCTTCTTACCAAGGCGTGGATCAAGATCCACGCCTCATTATTAGTATAGCGCTGTCAGCAGAGCTATCTCGGGTACAGCACGAAGCTGAGCTTGTTCGAGATCCAGTTTACTTCAATTTTCGAAATACGTCACAGTCAATCATTTTTCGACACAGCAGACTGCAGCGCCTCACTAGGATGGGTCGTCTGAAGCACCAGGTCCGACAACACGTGCACGCTATCATGACGATAAATGCTGACGGACACGCCGTGCCGTTCACGCATGATGGGTACCAAGAGCTGCGTAAAGCCTGCCGCGACCTCGCTCGTTAAGTTTGCCAGCCGCAGAGGCGTGGCTCGACCTGTGCCTCGGATCGAATTGTGCAACCAATCCGTGAGTATCATGACCTTCGATTTGTCGGTACTCCAATGATCCAGCAGACACCGAATTAGCGGAGAATTCAAATCGCCCGGTGGTGCAGGAAACGGTGCCGTCTCCTGAACCCATTTACTACACTCGTCAACACCACCACGTGCTAGTTCAATGTTATGCCCCAGACCCTTTTTATCCGTGCCAGCAAGAGCTGCAACACAATCGTCCAGTTGCTGTGTAAGAAGAGATATCTCTCTTCGGGCAGACTCGTTACTTTCCTCTTGGGCTTTCTGTGAGGCCACTGCAGCACACCATTGTACTTTCGTGTGGCGCAGCATCTCTTTCATCAACTTGCATTTCTCCGTGACGACCTGAACCTTGCGGTTCAGCCGTTCATTTGCAGTCTTGACCGAATCGCGACTGTCATCGATTGTGTCTGATTGTACGGAGCTACTGCTGCTGTCACTATCTACTCGCTTGAATGCCCGATCCAGCAGCTCTTCTTCTACGGTCACTGAGAGGTCCGGCATGTCCAAGCTAGCTCGAAGTCCACGAAGCTCTGCCTCAAGCTTCATGTTTGTTTCAAGGAGCACATCGCGCACCGTGATACTCGGTGCATGTGCGTCGGCCTCCTCAGGTTGCTGCAAGCATGTACAATCCGCGGCAAAAGTGTGGGACTCCGCGATCTTCTTGTACATCAAGTTCATCGAACGAAGACTATCCAACACGGCTTGCTCTTCCATTCGCTCTTCACGCAACGTGTCATTCGCACTCTGTAGGGTTTCGCTACGTTTTTCAAGACGTTTGATGTGAGCCATACATTCTGGCAAGCCGACCAATTTGCGACGCAGTTCACCGACCTCTTTACGCAAACTCTTGATCTCCAATTCATGCGCTACGTTTTCTTCCGACGCTACAAGGAGTTGGTGCTGCAACTTCTTGTAGTCGGTAATTGTGAAAACACTTGCTTGGTCAAGATCGTAAGTGGATTCGGGGTTCACCACAGCAAACTTCCGTTGCGTAGACTTCATCTTAGCGGCTTCCGATCTCTCTAGTTGGTGATCCACGTCTGAAGCTGCAGTCGAGTTTTCTTCCAGCGTCTTAACAACTCTCAACTCCCGCAGCTGCTGCGTCATATGATCTTCCTTCTCCAGCAAATCCTTGACAAGTGCTGACTTCGCCTTAAGCTCGTTGTACAGGGTGTTCGCTTCCAGCAGCAACTCTTTCCGAACCCCTATACAATTGGCCAGTTCCTGCTCCCGAAGAGCCAATCGGGCTCGAAGCCTAGGCTGCTCGGTCTCCAGCACCGCCACGTGATCTCGCAACGCAATCACCTCTTCACCAAGCGCTTGATTGGTCTCCAGCAATTGGATCCCAGCACGTGCAGCCTTACGAAGAGCATCTTGTTCGTCCAGGTCAATATCTAAACACTCAGAACCGCAAACTGACCCATATTGACAAGTAAAAGCAAGCACTTAGAGCTTGTATCCGAATGACCAGTTGTTATCAATTCACAGAACAAAAGCAGTAGTTTGGCGATGGCTGATATCAGGACAAACATTGCCGCGACGCACGTGTATACGAACGAGACAGCTCATCGTCCAGTGGCATGGGGGAGGACATGAGTTCCTTCACAGTGTGCATTTAAACAAGCGCACTACCTCCAGCTAAAGGCGTTGTGAAATTTTGATCGATAGTCGTCGATTGTGGAGAGCTCGTAAGACTTTATCGTAAAAATTGCTTATTTTTGAGTGTCGCGCACAGAGGTGTATCGTATTTATAGGAATCTAGAGTATCTCTGAGCCGTTTCGGTTGCAAAAAGTGCGTTTTGCTGTTGCGGCAGCTTCAGTTACAGGCGCAGCATTGTATTTTCAAGTAGGTGTCCTTTTTCCGCGACAACCACATCTTTTCGGACATGGCTGGTCGCGCCGTGGTCCGAGTATAAATAATACTCTCGTCTTCGGTATGTTACACTCGGGCCGTGACACGGCTGCCACGGGCAACAGTCGCGCAGAAATGACAGCGGTGCTCAAGAAAGAGCTGCGGTGCCGCATCGCATCTCGCCTAAAGCAGATGTCCAACGCTAATGTCGCGGCGCAGAGCTGCTTGTTGGCTGAAAAAGTATGCGCGCTGCCAGAGTTTGTGCGCGCTCGTGGAATCAGCGTGTATCTGGAGATGCCCGGAGAAGCGGCCACGTCAAAGCTGCTAGAAGCCGCGTTTACCGCGAATAAGAAGGTGTTTGTACCAAAGATATTGGGCCCGTCGGCAGATGATCTCATGATGGTGCAGGCAAACTCCATGGAGGACATCCGCAGCTTTCCAAAGGTCAATACGACTGCTCGGCTACGATTACAAGTTGATGAGATTTACAATTATCTGATCGACCGAGTATGTGCTGCTTCCGTGCAGGATAAGTGGCAAATTCCAGATCCACCTTTACTTACGGACAGCGACGTACCACGCGATGATGCCCTGCACGGCAACGATGTGGATCTCGTTCTGTTGCCTGGTGTAGCTTTCGATCGTAGAGGAGGACGCCTTGGCCATGGAAAGGGATACTATGGTGGGAAGATAGTCAAAGTGGATGTCTGGGGCTCACAACGATTTAATATTGACCGTTAAGTGTTTCTTCCGATGCTGTAGATTCGTTCCTGCGCCGACTGACGGCGCATTTTGACACGATTGGGCATCGTCCGCCTACAACTGTTGTACGTTTGATGCAACGAAACGATTTACTGTTGGAGTAATTGAATGCATCATGACTAAATGTCGCGATTGCAGGGTCTGTGTCTGATACCGCAGCTCGTCAAGCAAGTGCCGTTAGCATCGCATGACCGCATGATCAATCTTGTTGTCACACCCGAAGAGGTCATCCGTGTCGGTTCTGATTGCCAATAGATGATTATCTCTATCCTAGTTATTGGCTATGTGTAAATGCTGACACATTTGACGGTGCAAATTTGCACGTGTGTGAAACTGATGATAAAGGATGTTCTTTGGTCCTTAGACACGCGTTAAGCTGATGAAGGTGTCGTCGTTTGCTTCTTTATCGAAATTAACCTGCGTATGTACAAGGTTGATGTTTCAAGTTTTTTTGGCGTATGCAATGGAGTTCATCTACAGAATAGTTATCCTCCCATTTGCCAAGCATCACCTAAATCCGGGCAATATCCGCTTGTACTGACACAATACAAGATAACACAAGATACCTACACTGTCACAGAGTAGACATGAGTTTCGAGTTCTTACGTACGCTGTACTTGCAGAGGAAGACTCTCTACCACCAACAGACACGTTTGAGCTTGAAGGGTAAAGTGAAATTTAATTACTTTTATTAAGTTTCCTGCTAAATCTCACCTAATCTTACGTAAACTATAAAGTACAAAGCTAATTGTAGCTACTTGCACTCCACTACTTGCGCTCATCTAGCAGCATTAAGTATCAATTTGATTAATATAAGGCCCATTTCAGCAAATACCTAGAACGGTCCTGAATAACACCTTTAACGGTAGAATTTGCTCAAATTTTCTTTGTACGTTGCACAGTAGTGGTCTAAATGATCGTTAACAAATTATATAATTGGCCAAATGTGGTGTCAATTACATGTAACAAATTCACCCCATTACATCACTTCCCTTAATCATCAGTCACTAAAATGATTGATCGACCACTGATTGGTGACAGGGTGGTAAGCGTTGGATTATTCTATAACAGAAAGCAGTTTTTCGTCTGCCATATTTTATCGTAGGTTCTCATCGCATGGTTAACAAGCCTATGAGGTGTGCAGCCAAAGCTGCAAAGAGAGCGTCTTCATGTATAGAGAAAGCTGCCTAGAGTACAGCGGAATACCAAGCAGCATATGGTCGTTAATTTAATGCTGCTACTGAGCGTCATTCAACGTCAACTGTGGCGGAGTGGTGATCTCTTTTTGGAGGAGTCGATTCCACCTCTTTACTCGCGCCCGGACGACCGACTACCGGAGAGGGTACTCCGATTCCGTGTTGTATGCTTCGCTCACTTTGTGTACCCGTTGATGAGGCGGATGAACTCTTTCAGGTGGACTCAAGTCGATACCAAGCTTAACCGTGGTTGAGATTGGTGCTGTCGCGTAAAACCCTTCACACGATAGCGGATGTACTCGAAAGGTGCTCGATATGAGTCACCTTGATCGCTACGAGGTCGCCTTGTCCAATGTAGATGCTTGATTCGCGAGCCTTCTGACCACTTGAGCCGTCTCGCGATCTTGCAATCATTGCCTTTACGGGTTTGCTGCGTCCGATCGCAGTTGGTGTCCATGTTGAGAGTCTATAATCCCTGGCCAAACAATTCAGGGATATGATTTGATTAAAGTATGCAAATTTCCGGACGTAAGGTGGCCAATGATCCAACTCGGAACAGAAAGCGACACGTGTACCCCAAATTAAATTCAACTCTGTTTCATGTTAGCCAATCAATTCCAAAGAAAACTGTCACATCGCTAGGTCTATCTATCTCACGACTTTCGAAGCCATGCTTCTCCTTCCCAAGAGGTCGACCCCTTTTACCCATGTGGTTTATACCAAGTGTGTTCTCTCTGGAACCTTAGCGTGACCCAAACCCGACTTGTATACAACAGATCGAGAGATCAGA